TAAGCGTCCCCTCTTAAATGCATTAGGCACGCAATTTTCATAAGCATTTATTCCTCCATTGTTCATTTCAAAATATAATGAAAACAAAAACTGTATAAAAGTAATATTAAACAACCGTATAAAGAAAGTAACCCTCAATGTCAAACAGTTCATCCCACCTGTCATACAATTTTGACTCGCAGAACACTTAGCCAACTACAAAATGGTCAAAACAAGCAGGTCGTTACGGCAAGCACATGCTGTTTAAATATAAACACAGACAAACGAATAATATATGATGGTATGTTGTTGTTGACAAACCCACCACTAGCACTACGGCGAAGTGGTAGTCTTAGCAAGATCCAAAAGGAATTGTTTTGTACTCTTGCAAAAGTTTTGTTGTTGGATTAAAATATTGCTAATATAAATATTGCCAACTGCATGGTTATATTTACTGTATCAATATGACGTATTTTCTTCTCTCTCTTTTTTTTTTTTTTAGTTCTTCTTCCGTTCACATACTGTTGTCAAAGCGGAACGTTCCCTTGTGGCGATGATAAAGAGCAATGTTTTCCACAAGAATTCCAGTGTAACGATGTGGTTGACTGTACAAACGCCGCTGACGAACAGGATTGTGGTTAGTTACAATTATATAATATTGTATATGGTATATTGTAGACCTTGCATTTTAATGGTTAGTATTATATATGGCGCTTGTCAATCACTCCGGCATGGATTGAAAACTAAGTTTACTAGACTAGAAGCTACTAGTTATGTGGATAAATGCAGGGTTTTTCACATTGTCATGTTATCACGCAACACTAAGTGATAGTCGAAAGAGAGTATATTATTATACCGTAGTATTTTGTAGCTTTATCTTTGAGATGTATACCTAGAGACCTGATAAAGTAATGCTAATTCAAACCATAACAATAAGTTATTGGTGATTTATTTAAATGTCGATTTTACGAGAAAGGGGTGTCATCACTGTCTCACCTTCTCCGGTGTCAAATTATACTTACAGTGATGGTGAATACCTTACATATATCTAAGGGTTACATGTGCTTAAATTGTTTTCATCTAGTATTCAATTGGAGAAAAGATGGGACATTTTATTTACTTTCAATAAATTACATGCAAATAGATATTTCGAATGAACTTTATATATAAATGCCATGCATACCTGTAGGCCTACTAGGCCTATATTTAACAGAAATAAAGTTAAGTCAGCAGAAACAAAAAATGGTACCGGAATGTAAATCCTTTCTGTGTTCTTTAAACTTATCATAACATTGTACATATGATATCATCTGCAATGGCAAAATCAAAAGATTCGACCTCCATGAAGTATAAGTTTATATTATAGAGTTAAAAATTCCACTCGTTTTTATTTTTGGCAATCCAGGAAATCATATTTTGATCCGCAATACCTCAACTATCAGATGCGTTGTTCTGTCCTTAATTTCCCTTTGTTGTCCACAAGGCGCAAGAGAGCTTCTCTGAAATTAATTTCTTCGTTCTTGTTCAATCTATATCTTTTGAATGTTGGCAATTTTTTCACTATTAGTTTCCTTTTTAAAATTCCGCTTCCGCAATATGGAACGAGCTCGGCTTGAGATTCGAAAGCAATTTCGAGTTCTTTTCAAAATCTATTTCTGAGTTGTATGATTAACTGTTAATTACTGTTCTCTTTTTTTGATTGTGCTATCTTTTGTCTCTGTTTTTGCATGTGTGTGTGCAAAGTAGTTTTTGGGTACAGGGACATGAGTCCATTTTCCTTTGTACACTCTTAACAATTAATAATAATAATAATAATAATAATAATAATAATAATAATAATAATAATAATAATAATAATAATATAATAATAATACTAATAATAATAATATATGTATGTATTTATATAGACGTATTATATGTATATATATAAATATATATATATATATGTATATATATATAATAAATATATAAATAGGTATAATGACAACGTTAGAATGACAATAGGTCTATAGTTTGAATGACTGAACATGAATAACATTGATTTATCGTTAAATTTATGTGGTCATGTATAGAAGTATTATAAAATAGGCCATCGTAAACAGACGAGGAAATTAAATTAGTCAACCTACTGTATTGGACATTGTCCCTAATTCGTATCTTACTCGTTAAATACTCGCTATTTGATAAACATTTTCGATTAGGCCTATTAAAGTTTGATGGGAAATATACAACATAGGGCCTAATTGAGAATCTTCATTGAGGAACCGCGATTATGTATATGCTAGGCAAAAGTTTGTCCTGGATAAATGTTTGTTACATTGTTACATCAATTATATAAAATGTAAGAGTTTGAATTCATGTTTCTATGATTCGATTATACTTCTAGTCATATGTACAAAGACCTCAGATTTATGAAGCTAGTATATGACCGTCTATTTAAAGATCAAAAGCTGGATGAAACCTTTTCAACATGATACATGTCTGACATGCAAATAAATAAAAGAAAAAATAACATATCGACGACGGTTTAAGTACAGACCGATCCTCCAAAGACACTTAAACATTACGCACGTTTAAAATCAGTTCTACTTCAATGGCCTCCGTTCCCGTTTTTTTTGCCTTACATAAAATGTTCAATATTTTCAAAGCTTGTTTTTGTAAAAGTCACATGTAACCTTTATCTGCATGTATTACTGATGTCGTTATGCTAATAATTATTAATTACTATCAATACTGTATAAACCACACTTATGAATTAATATTTAATATTCAATAATAATTTAATAATCAATAATTTAATGATTTACGTTGTACTCTATGTACATTGTACATTTTGTTTTGTATTATTATACTGTACACTGAGGGCCTCTTCTATTTAGTTTTGTGCTGTAATATTTACCCTCTTAAAATATAGTATAATAAATAGATAATAATAAGAGACATATTTGTTTTATATTTCTGTCAAATACACGTGGAAGCGATTTGACTCATTATCACAAAATGTCAAAATTAATATTTGTTTTCAAGGAATTCCTTTTTTATTTTGTTTTAACCAGGAACAAAAATAATTGCATAACAAAATTATACTTTAATATTAGCCTGTATAACTTGAAAAAAAAAATCACATTTTTTTCAGGTTTACATACATAACTAGAGAAGTCACTCAGTAGAGTCACTCTTTAGCGTTCTTAGATTAATTTTCTAATAGCTATGTTCTCTAACAGCTGGTGACGGTGAGCAGGATTCGGATCCTGCTAACCGTTAGCTGCCGTGCGTCCATACGAGAACATCCTGATCCGGATACCAAGAATATGATGATCAAATCACTGGCCAATAAGAAACTGGAAATTGTATACGTGTACGTGTGATTGGTTGATGATAGAAACGCGCTCAACTTGCTAACCGATAGCTCTTGCTAACCGTTAGCGGTATCCGGATAATGCTAACGGTTAGCGCTAACAGATCGAGCGTTCTCACGCAGGTGCTAACGGTTAGCGCTAACGGTTAGCTCCCGATCCGGATACTAGGGCTCTCGTGAGAACCAGGCTTTAGAGTGCATACCTCCGCCCTGTGCCTGAACAATAACCAGGCCGTGTGGAGCAATTCCTTTTCTCTTTTATGCTCGTGGGTGAAAAATAGAATTTCCATGACCTTGACCTTTTCCCTTAACTTTTCTTCCTAAAATGTAATCATATCTTCCTTCGATTAATATGTACCATTCCACTACGTTTTATGATGATCTATTCTTTAGTTGTTGCGTAATCTTAGTAACAGACAGAGCGATTAATACATAACCTCTATGCAGGTGGTAATAATAATTTTTTTTCCCAACAAGTCAACGTTTACTGTGTTTAATGTTATTGTTACAATTATATTTATAAAGTTAAACACTAATATAAATTGATATAGACCTATAATATAAATATGTCTATACATGTTTTTATATTATAACCTTTTTAATATCTATATTATGTTAAATATTTTGATAATGTATGAAAAAAACAGTAATATGATATTAAAATAGCAATGATAATTAATTTGTTATATAAGCTAGTTCAGCTATATTTATGCTCTGTCGCACATACGTCACGTATTTTTTGATTGGACGTGGGTTTATTTTATTTTTTTATAAATCATTGTTCAAAAATGTCTTCGTCGTTCAATTAGGCTGTATATCGATATACCGATCGTAATGAACCTGTATTTTTTAGCACTCACAGCACTCAAGTGTTGGCAGTGGTACGGAAACATTGATGGCTGTGTAACATGTGATTCCAGATACATCACTATTTTACTTCAAATGTACAAATACAAGGACCAATATTATACATTTTTTGACCTATTTTAAACTCATATAACATATTTACAATTTATACAATTCGATATATAATTAGGCCTACCGAAAGCAAAAAAGTAACCTGTTATTAAAATAATATTACTATAGAAATTCTTATGCAAGCTCAAAATGGTTTATTGAAAAGTAAACTTATAAGATGTGACAGAATTAAAAATAGGCTCCCAGCGGGATTACTGATCGACATAGTTGTTTTTGTTTTGTTTTGTTTTTGTTTTTGGTTTTGTTGTTTTTTTCTATTTTGTTTTTTGGGGGTTTTTTTTGTTTTTTTTAGATGTGTATAAGAGACAGTAATAATACTATGTATATATTTAATGTGTATGCCTAGATAATCTATAAAAAAAATCCGAAACATGATCTTGGAACATCAGTGATAATTATTTTGTTATGCTTATTCGACACTGTTTATGCTCACATACAGTCGCGATACATGGGCCTGTGTCACGTATTTAATAAGATTTGAATTTAATTTTGTGATGAGTAAGTGGATGCATTAGAATCAATTCAATGGATCTTTTCGCTAAGCCCCACCCCTTGGATATTGTTGCTAAGGCCACAAAACGTACGTAAACGTACGGTACGTAAACACGTGCATTTGTGACAACATTGTGTTTGTGCGACACAAGCGTATTCCTGGCCCTGCAATTTTGATTGGTCATTTTTTAAGGTTGATTGACACTTCGGAAATGTAAATTAATAGTAGGCCTATACGCATATCACTGCGTGACGTGTCTGATAGGTTAAGAGACAACTTATGTTAACCCCTTTTAATCCATAAGATAGTGTTCATTAATAATATTGGATACACATCGGTTCAAAGAAACGATGTCTAAAGTCCTTAGAATATGGTGCAGATGGAAATTGGGTGCATGTTGGTTATAAAAGTGTGTCTTAACCCTTGTCAGATTCTGCTCATAAACAACAGATACACGTGCACTTAAAAATGTATTGTTCATAATGTACACTATGGGTCTAAATGTAAGTGTTCTATCTTCTGGCATATATTACTGCTCATAATAAGCATGGGTTAAACAAAAGCACAAGTTATCGAATCCTTGGAAGATATTGTTTCGAGAATATTGGATATTATATGTAAGGACGTACGTACCTAATTGTACCTATGGACAAGATGATATTTATCATATCTAGAAATTGTGTATAGAAATTGACAATTCAATTGTATTTATTATTAAAACGCACTTAATTGCTTAAAGCCCAAGGTCATTATCAAGCGTCGCGAATTATCAAGTAATGGAATATTATAGGCCTGTTCATTACAATTA